CCATTTGGCTGCCCCTTTTTTCAACTGGGGTTGTCCGTCTAAGCTACGCCGGTATGTACTTCGAATTCAGGCCAGGGCTTCCCCATCTGACACCTTGCCCTTACCTTTGCATCAAATTGGGTATTTTTTCCCCAGACAGAACTCTTTTTGGGGTTTGCCTAGCATCAGCCTGAAAATGACCTTGGCAAATTGCTTAATGAGGACAGAGTTCTGTGCCAAGCTTAAAAAACAAAAAGCATTTGAGAAGCTGACTAGCGACGGCCGCTATGGTGCGATTCTGTCAAAAAGAAAGTAGAGGTCGCTCTTGAATGCAGATGCAGAAGATGGCACAGATGAACCTTCTTGAAATTAAGAATTTGAGAAGCTGATTAGCGAAGGAAGTTTTGGTGCTTTAACAAATGTGAAATATTGGTTACTCATTAATGTAGCCAGACGAAAAGGCACCTTTCCCTGAAATGCACCCCTGGGACTCGCACGCTGGGCTCTTTGGGGAAAGAAACAAGGTGATTTGCTGCATGCGTCATAGAACAACCATGTGGGGGTGCTGATTTTGCTGTCTCCAAAATAGCAGTCGCTCCTGAATGCAGCATGAAGAAAATGCCATCGGCGAGCCTGCACAAAATAAAGGGTTCTGTACAGGCATAAAGAAACCTGAAAAGTCACCCAACCAGGATTTGAACTCAGGACCCCACGGGCAGAAACAGGTGCTTTAACCATTACACCACAGCAAACTAGACCTTTTGGGAAAGGTTCCGGATGACTGTAATAACTCATTGTTCCCTTGTGCCTCTGCACTGACCGGCAGGGCCGGAAGTCCATCTTCTGCCTAATAAAGTCAATACCAACCTGAGGCCCTTTCCAAATAGAGCCTGCCTGAATAGCTCAGTCGGTAGAGCGCAGGTCTCTGGTCGATAACCTGGTCCAAAAGGTTGTGGGTTCGATTCCCACCTCTGCCGGAAACTCAATTCCAGGGCAGCCCTGGTCTGCTGTGCTTTAACCAACTCTCGAGAGTGATGGAAGGGCAAGTGCCAGAAGTCCATCATCCGCCTTCCATTTGGCTGCCCCTTTTTTCAACTGGGGTTGTCCGTCTAAGCTACGCCGGTATGTACTTCGAATTCAGACCAGGGCTTCCCCATCTGACACCTTGCCCTTTCCTTTGCATCAAATTGGGTATTTTTTCCCCAGACAGAACTCTTTTTGGGGTTTGCCTAGCATCAGCCTGAAAATGACCTTGGCAAATTGCTTAATGAGGACAGAGTTCTGTGCCAAGCTTAAAAAACAAAAAGCATTTGAGAAGCTGACTAGCGACGGCCGCTATGGTGCGATTCTGTCAAAAAGAAAGTAGAGGTCGCTCTTGAATGCAGATGCAGAAGATGGCACAGATGAACCTTCTTGAAATTAAGAATTTGAGAAGCTGATTAGCGAAGGAAGTTTTGGTGCTTTAACAAATGTGAAATATTGGTTACTCATTAAT